AGGCGCCCGCCACAACGCCCGGCTATTTTTTGGTTGCAGCCGTCATTGTTGTTTGGCGGGTCCGGGCTGGGGATTCGAACCTGCCACCTTAGGTGTACATGGCTGGCGCCTTAGCCGGTTGAGCTATAGGCGTTGAGCCAAAATCTTACACTTCTAATTCCATCTCAGCATCTGCTTCCTGCAGGATCCACCCTGATATAGCTGGCTAATGTTTGCACCTTAGTTTGAATACCTGGACCAAGGGTCCTCAAACTTTTTAAACAAAGGGCCAGTTCACTGTCCCTCAGACCATTGGAGGGCTGGACTGGGGGCCCCAGGACAAGTTGGCTGCGAAGCAGGAAAAACACCTGGTGGGTGGGATAAATGTCCTTGGTGGGCTGCCTGTGGCCCACGGGCTGTAGTTTGAGGATGCCTGACCCATGAATCTTGTTTTACACCTGAGTGCTCATCTCTAAGTCAGTATCCTTGGTTTGTAATCATAGTATAAGGTTGCTACAAAGAGCCATGCTGATTATTATGCAACTCTGGGGGCACCATTTATGAGGACTAGTGTGAACTGCCAGACAGTTAGCCACAGAGAGGAAACATAGGGTAGTGGCTAAAGAGTGAAGACTCTGGAGTCAGACAGACCTAGGCCCAAATTCTGCATCTGCTGTTCAGAAGGGTGGTTGTTGTGAATAAGTTCTTTAAACCAGTGTAGGATAATAGCTGTGAAATGGGACTCTGGACCCAGAGTGCTTGAGTTTGAATGTTTGTTTTGCTATTTACTAGCTGTGTGACTTTGGGAAATTATTGTGTCTCAGTTTTTTCATTATAATGGAGGACAATAGAAGTCTACATGATAGGTTCATTCAGATAAATAAATCCAATAATTTTTTTTGCAGTTTCTGCCAGGGCCAGGCTTGAACCCACCAACCCTGGCATATGGGGCCAGCGTCCTACTCTACTCCTTGAGCCACAGGTGCTACCCAATCCAATAATATTTTAAAAGAACTTGAAACAGTGTCTAGCAGAAGGAACACTCTGTAAAGGTTAGTGACACTGCTACTATTACTAATAATGGTTATGTTAACCTATGAATTTTATTCAATATTCAACAAGTATTTAGTTAGCTCCTATTGTCTACTATGTTCTGGGCACCATGACAGGTGACAGGTATGCAACTGTAGATAAAACTGGCACAGTTAACAAGTAAATGTATATAATAAACACAATAAACTCAAACTGATAGGCTGAGGATCAAGTGAAATAATATATATAACTCTCTTTCCATTGGGTCTTGTGTGCAGTAAATGCTCACTAAATAATTCTACCTCATTAATATCAAAGTCCTTATGTGGACCTCAAGTTTTTCTCCATAAACTGAGGGGTTGGTCTACCAGAGTATCCTAACCTAGCCACCCATCAGAAATTCATGGACATCTTTAAAAATTTTAGATGCTCTTGTCCAACTCTTGAAATTTCCTGCTTCACTTTATTCCCTACACTCTGGGCTGCAAGTGGCAGAAATTTGATTAAAACAAGTTTAAACCAAGCAAAGAAATTTATCAACAGAGGAAACAGGGGAGTTTGCCTCAGAACTTAGCAAATTTTGATTCTCATTTTCCCTTGTTGCAGACAGGTTTCTCCTAGTTGCCAAGAAACAGGGCTACCATCTTGCAGTGAATAGATACCATTTTCTCTATTAGGCATCCAAGGGGAAGAGACACTAAGATATTTCATCCCCTGAGTCTAACATCACAGGGAGCAGCTCTGATGGGCTTAGTTGCGGCCATGTGCCTGCCTATCTTGGGGCCAGTTGCCTCAAGGGAGGCACACATTGGAGAACTGGTAGCCCTCATAATATCATGTGGAGTTGAGAAAGAAGAGTTCTCTCAAGGAATTCTGAAGAAAGCCATGCCCTGGCAGACAAAAGCAGCCGTTGTTTACTAAAGTGTAAAGTGGAGTCTAGGAATTGTATTGTGAAAAAAACCTCATGAGGGATTTTGCCAGGGTCGTAATGCTCTGGGTTTCATGGCACAGGTCTTTTCTAGCTCTTCAAATTCCGCAAAAGTAGCTGGGTTGGGAGAAGTGAAACAGGAAAGACTACCTTGTGGAATGACTAAAAAGGAAAAGAAACAATGAAGAAAGAAGGAGTTAAGTGGTCTGAGGCCGCCTTGGAGTTGCCAGCACTGTGCAGCAGGTAAGCTGACACCAGGGCATGCCCTTGCTAACTCTCTGTTCTGCAGGCAGTTGAGCATTTCTTGGCTGAAATTCAATCCCCTTTCAGGGCTGTCAGTGGGGCTCAGGTGGGCCAATTCAGAAAGCCTGGTAGGTGCTCTAAAGGGCAAACACGTTTTGTGCTCCTTCTGTGAGGATGGGCAGGCACAGGCAGACGTGTTCTTGGAACCATTTCCCTGCCTCTCCAGGTGCTTTCTCTCCTTCTGTCTCCTGAAGCTCATACGCCTACAGTGGCCATACTGCTCCCAGTGTCTAGGCCTCTCAAAACTATTAACAGGAAGCCAAGGTGCTGTCATGAAGCAAGTAGGCTACTTGTGACTATGAGAACCGATCCTGCAAAGTCAAGTCAGATTCAGGGTGAGCAGGATGGATGTCACAAAGGATGGGCTGGCTGGTTCTGAGGCAGGGTCTTCCTAGACAGGTTCAAGTGTCCTGAGGAAGCCCCTAAGTATCCAGAGTTCATACTTAGGCTCCACAGGTCCCTGAATCTATCAGTTCATCAAAAGAATTATGCTCTAGGTTAGAGCACAAATTGTGCTGTAGCATTTGTACTAACCTGGATGGAGGTGGAACACATTATTCTTAGTGAAGCATCACAGGAATGGAGAAGTAAGAATCCTATGTATTCAACTTTGATATGAAGACAAGTAATGACACGGTGGTGCATGGGGGAAGGGGAGACCAGACAGAGAAGGAGGGAGGGGGGTGTGGGCAAGGAAAAAAAAAAGAAAGAAATTAGTGACTAATTCTTATATAAATTATATTTAATTTGGACCAAAGTACATTACATAAACATTTTTTTAATTCAACATGTTAATATGTTCTCATTTATAAGTGAAATATGTTTGTAATTTCCCCTTTAAAATAATATATTTTCTCCAATTTTAATATCAGGTATATCCAGATTAAGTAGAATGATTTGGAAGTATTTCTTTTTCTATTGTCTATAAGATTTGGCATGATCTGTTTTTTTGAAATTATCTTTTATTTATAAATATTAGTTGTCTATTTTTTTGAGACTTTGGAAAAACAAAATAAGAAGTTAACTGATCAAAGCATTCTATAATAGACATACTTCTATCTGACAATGTGAATGTTACTGTCTTTGCAGTATTACTATTGTTATTGTTTAATAAAAAAAAGAATTGTGCTCTAGAAGAAGAGTTCAGAAGAGTTTATAGAAAGATCACTGCTCTTTATTAAACAGAATGTATGTAGTTAAAGACTTGGAGTTATGATGGCTAGGCATACTGGCTCTCCCCTGTAATCTTAGCACTTTGGGAGGCCAAGGCAGGAGGATACTTTGAGGCCAGAAATTCAAGACCTGGGGGTGGGAGTCAACATTTAACATTTAGTGGCCACCAGCAATGTGGGGTTAAATAGAAACATAGCTAATATTACCCAAAGAACTTATCATTGTAATGGAGGAAAAATTCTTCCTCTACCCTCTTACACAGACATCCTCAAACTATAGCTCATGGGCCACATGCAGCCCACCTAGGACATTTATCTGGCCCGCCAGGTGTTTTTGCCACCACTGCCTGTCCTGCTTAGCAGCCGACTCGTCCCAGGGCCTGCAGTCTGGCCCTCCAATGGTCTGAGGGACAGTGAACTGGCCCCCTGTTTAAAAAGTTTGAGGACCCCTACACGAGCCTTACATCTTTACTTAGGGGCCTGTGAATTAAACCAACAAGTAACAGATAAAGAAGAGTTTGTTTATGTGTGCAATGTACATACCGTGGGAGTTCTCAGTGATGAGTAATATAAAGGGGTGGTTAGAATTTAGGGCTTAAATGCCTATCTTAATAAGGGAAGAGGAGTAGGGAGAAAGGGCTCCTGTAGGAAGAACAAATGAGTTTTTTTTATTTTTTGAGACAGAGTCTCACTTTGTCACTCTCGGTAGAGTGCTGTGATGTCATAGCTCACAGCAACCTTAAACTCTTGGGCTTTAGTGATTCTCTTGCCTCAGCCTCCCGAGTAGCTGGGACTACAGGCACCTACCACAATGCCCGGCTATTTTAGAGACGGGATCTCCCTCTGGCTCAGGCTGGTCTCAAAACCCATGAGCTCAGGCAATCCACCTGCTTCGGCCTCCCAGAGTGCTGGGATTATAGGCGTGAGCCACCGCACCCGGCCGCATGAAGTTTCTTTAGGAAAGACAAGTACGTTTTTTAGGGGAACAAATGAGAGATGAGAAAGTCTGTGATCATTTTTTCTATACAGGTATGAATGGTCCTTTCTCTCTTCTTTAGGGTCATGAAATTTCCCAGAGAGAGGATTTATGATAGATTTACTCTTGGCCTCTCTCCTGGGAGTTGAAGGTGCCCTGAAGATGGAATTTATGGCAGTCTTTATGTCTCAGAAGTTTCTGCCTTGAGTCAGATAAAAGAATCTCTGAGAGAAGGCTTTTATCTCCATCTGTTGACTCTCAAATGTCTTCAGCTTAAAACAATCCCCATACCAACTTTGAGATTCCAAGTAGGTCCCCACATAGTCTAATATGGAAGAGAGGCATATAAACAAATAAACAACAACCACAGATATTTAAGGAGGCAGAGCAGTGTGCAGGAAGAGTTCAGAGCACGAGCTTTAGTGGCAGCGAGATCTTGGTTCAAACCCAGGCTCTACCAGACCTGTGTGACCTTGGCGAAATGACTTGACCTCTCTCATCTCAGATCCCTCATTGGAAAAATGAGGAGTTGATAAGAGTCCGTGTTTTCATAGGTTGTTGTGAAGAATAAATGAGAGGACAGCTAAATTTATAGCATAGCATTTGGAGGGTACAAAAGATTCATTAAGTAAGATATTTCTGGGCGGTGCCTGTGGCTCAAAAGGGTAGGGCGCTGGTCCCATATGCCGGAAGTGACGGGTTCAAACGCAGCCCCAGCCAAAAAAAATTGCAAAAAAAAAATAAAATAAGATATTACTAAATTGCTTATATCTAGAGATCTCAGGCAACGTGGGAGAGAGTGTCAGAGCAGCTCATTAAGTATTTCAAAAAATATGTACTTGAGATTTACCCATTGCCAAGACTTATATTGTGAAAAAGAGGTACTATTGGCTCAGCGCCTGTGGCTCAAGAGGCTAAGGCGCCAGCCACGTACACCTAAGGTGGCGGGGGTTTGAATCCAACCCGGGCCTGCCAAACAACAATGATGGCTGCAACTAAAAAAAATAGCCAGGTGTTGTGGTGGGCACCTGTGGTCCCAGCAACTTGGGAGGCAGGAGACTCGCTTGAGCCCAGGAGTTGGAGGTTGCTGTGAGCTATGCCATGGTACTCTTACCCAGGGGGACAGCTTGAGGCTCTGTCTCAAAAAAAAAGAAAAGAAAAAGAGGTACTATTCCTGTTTTCAGGGAGTTTACGGTCATTGATGGAAGAGATAGATATTGAACAAATAACACCATGATAAACCTGTAAGTGGTAACTATGACAAATGCGGGAAAGGGAAGAATGGAGTGCTGTGAGAGAATATGGCAGCCACATTTCATTTAGACTGGGTACAGGGAGGGCCAGGACGGACTTCTGTGAGAAAGTGACATTTAAGGTGCAGGTGGAAGGATTATTCTGAGTTGCTGAGGCAGAGTGTTCTTGATCCTGTGCCAAGGCCTAAGGTAATACGTAGCTCAGTGAGTTCCAGAACCTGAGGCTGGAGTGAGAGGAGGAGAATGGCAGAGGTTAGCCTGGGAGGTGAGCAGGGACATGCTGGCTATTTGGCTGTTCCAGCCGTTCTCTATCCTCTCTGTCCTGCTCCAGGCCCTTCTGTAGACTTTCTGACCTCAGTCTCGTGGCTTCTGGGTTCTACCAGTTTTGTGAGGGGCGATCAGAAGACGGAAGAGAGAGAGGTCATGATATTTCTTGCCTCTTGTTCCTGCTTTGGCACGTGCTTCTGGCAGTAGGCATCCTGTGGCCGCCTGGTGTCTGGCGGCTCTAGGTCCCTCTGTCTCCTTCCCTGGCCTCTTCAGCCTTGGATGGCAGTATCTTCACCCTGCCACCAACTCCTCCTCCCCAAATGCTGTTGTTTTCCTTGTCGCACCTGCAGGGTGGTAAGTTGTGGCTTCCTTACACTGTCTTTAGCTGCACTCCCCGAAGTGTTTGCCAGTGTTTGCTGCTGGGACCTTGACTGATAAAACAGAGGGACGTGTACTTCTAGTCAAGGATGTGGCCTTTTTAGATTGTTATCTTAAGTGCAGCAAGAAGCTATAAATGGTAGGCTCTCTTGTAAAAAAATAGCTACAAGCGTACTTGAGACACTTCCTTGTCGCTGCTTCTTCTCCCAGCTACAGCCCCAGTTCCCTGCTCCTGGTAGCAGAAGATCCTCTTCACAAATGGACTCCTCTTCATTATTTCTTTCTTGTCTTGTCTTGTCTTTTTTTTTTTGAGATAGGGTTTCGCTCTATTGTGCAGGCTAGAGTACCCTGGCCTCAGCCTAGGTCACAGCAACCTCAAACTCTAGGGCTCCAGTGATCCTCCTGCCTTAGCCTCCTAAGTAGCTGGGACTACAGATGTCTGCCACAATGCCCAGCTAATTTTTTCTATTTTTTAGTAGGGAGGGGATCTTGGTCTTGGTCAGGCTGGTCTGGAACCCCTAAGATCAAGGGATCCTTCTGCCTCAAGGATTATAGGCGTGAGTTACGGTGCCCAGCCTCTTCCTTATTTCTTAAGCCATGGTTGACTACCTCTCCCTTTTCTAAATCTCTCTCTTTTTATGACCCTATAGTTTCCTGGTTTTTCCTATATTTCAGGCTCCTTAGAAAACTTGTTCTTCCTCTTTCAGCTTCTAGATGTTGGAGGAGAGGGGTCTCTATGGCTTACTTTTCTCCTTCTTCACTGTCAATATCAACCATAGTCATCTCTTTAGATATTCCAAAAACCTTTCAAATCATAAATTGGACTGTGTTACTACTTGCACAAAATACTTACGTGGTATCCCATGATACTTTAAATTCAAACCTGATC